CTCTTTAGGCAATACAGGAGACTGAATCAAGGGCCTTGCACATGCTAGCAAGGACTCTGCCACTGAGCTATATCCCTAGCCTTTTTTATTTTATTTAGAGACAGCCTCAATAAGTTGCCTACGCTGGTTTTGAACTTGTGATCCCCCTGCCTCAGCCTCCTGAGTACTATAATATTCTTTCTAACAAACCAGTTAACGTAAGTTTCCCTGAGTTCTGCAAATGATCCTACCAAATTAATCAAGCCTAAGGGAAGAGTCACAGGAATCCTGAGTTATCACTGGTCAGTCAGAGGCACAGGTCACTGTCTATGGCTTGCAACTGTCACATGAAGTGGAGCTGTCTTGTGGGACTGAGCCCTTAACCTGCGGGACCTCTGATGCCATCTCTAGGTAGATAGAGTCAGAAGTGAACTCAGTCATAGGACACCCAGTTGGTGCCCACTAGAGGATTCTGGTATATGGGGAAAAGCCACTATACACCTGGCAGCAGACTGTGCTTTTCTTTTCTCTCATTTGCACTAATAAAGCATATAATCTAATAGACTGGTTAGGGCATAGAGATCATAAAAAATTATTTTTGACAGTATTTTCACAAAGACCCTTACCAGAAGCAAATCCCTCCCAGTGACTACGTGTCAACTGCTCCAAACAGCCCACAACCTTGCTCCACACGTCGTCAAACACATAGGCAAGGACATCCTCTTTCATGCAGTAGAACGGGGCAATGGGAGGGTACCCTAACTTCTGTTTCTCTGCAGCTGCTTCTGATTTCTTTTCATGAAATCCCTCTTCCCTGAAACAGAAGCAAGAGAGAAAGACCTCATGATTATTCTTCACTGAGCGCCCACCACTGTCCTTTGTGCTTCTTAGGAATGTAATTAGTGCCCTGTCCCCTCCCACATGCCCTATGTATGAAGCTGCCTTGTGAAAAAAGTTCTCGAAAGAGGAAACTGCATTTCTCTTTTTATCCCCATCTTACCCTACTACTCTGCAAAGAAGTCAAGAGCCACAAGCACAGAAGTTCCTGTGGGGAGCTTCTAAGACACTGAGCGTGTTACCCAGCAGCCGCTGCCCCCCAAGTCTGTCTGCTGCTCTGACAGGCAACACCAACAGGCCTGGGGTTCGGAGGAAGGAAAATCTAGCTGGTGGACTACTCACCCATCATAGATGGATTATGAACTGAGGCAAAGCAAATTCTGAAACTGGTTTGGGGTAGGAAGAACTATCTCCAGGCTTCTACAGTGCAAGTTACCCTACGGCAGCAGAGGTCTTAGGAGTTAAATAGGGAACTGCGGCATAAAGAAGGACATGAGAAGTTTACATGGGGCAGCTACAGACTCTCTCCTCTGCCTTCCCAGGGAAGAGCTGGCACCAAGTGGAACAGTAAGCTGTCGAATTATTTGTATTTAATATTATACTTCTATCTAGAAGAGATAATACATTCACGTTTATGAAAAAAATTGAAATCAAAAGAACACAGTGAAAAAGAAGTCCCTTAAATCTTTTTCCTGCGCTTGGTCTCAAGTAAATATTATACACTGTTCCAGAGAAATAGCTGCATCATACACTATAATGAACCTTGTTCTTTTATTTAGTAATTTATCTTGGTCTTTGATCCCTATTGGTATTAATCTGCCTCTCAAAAACAGCTACATATTCTATTGGGTATGCTATAATATAACAAAGGAGCCCTTACTGATCAGTAGTCAATACTGCAATGACTATAACTACATATAGTTTCTTGGTTTCACGTGTGATCGTATATGTAGGATAAATTCCTATAAATGGAACTGTTAAGAGGCATATGCTTTTCAGTTTAAAAGATATTGCCCAGCTCCCTCTAAAAAGGGTCTGTGGTCCAATGGTGAAAGAATGTGCCTTTTCACACACCTAAGAATTATCAAACTTCTTTATCTTTCATTCTCTGCTAATCTGACAAATAATAACAGTATCTTATCATAGCTTTAATTTGCATCTCTAACGTGAATGAGGTTGAATTTCATTTCATGTTTAAATGTATTTTCTTTTTATATGAATGTACTGTTCACACTGACTGTTTTAGTCCTTGGTCTTTTCCTTACTGATGTATATATTAAGGAAATAAACTTTGTGTAGATATTTTTGCCAGCTTGTCATTTGTTTTTCGACCTTATGAGTTTTTCACTATGTAGAAATTTCATCTTATGCAGTCATTTAAGAATTTTTTTTTAAATTTTATTTTTAAAAATTAAAAAAACTAACAAAACAACAAAGAAGACAAAATCAAAACAACACAGAAACAACAAAAATGATACATGACCTCAAAACAAAAATTAAAAATGGTTGCTACATTACATACTGTTACCTCAACAAAGTTGCTCAGTTCACCAGACATAAGAATGTAAGACTGATCAAACAATCAAAGACAGAAACAAGTAATAAAAAAAAACAACACTGGAAGAGCTTCACCATACAAGATGGTAGGAGTTCAACGATGGTTTTTATACTGCATATTGCTGTTTTCAGATTAGTCATTCTGATTTACCAAATTCAAGTGTGCAAAGTTGGTCAAGAAAAAAGAAAATTTTAAGCATTGACTGTTCCTTTCAATAAACCACAGACATCAGCAATATACCTACAGTGAAATAAATCAGGGGCTGGGGATTTAGCTCAGCAGCACAGCGCCTGTCTGGCAGGCGCAAGGTCGTGAGTTAGAGTCCCGGTACTGGGGGGGGTGGGGGGGGAAGAAATCAGATTCACATGTGTAAACATCGTATCTCCTCTCTATTATAAGAACTTGAAAGAGTAAGTAAAATCTGAAAGGTACAATAGATATTGTGAAAAGGAAAAGAAATTGCTCAAATACGAAGGAGCAACTAGGATGAAGGAGGGGAGAAGAAGAAAGAAGG